GGCTTCTTTGTCATTATCATTCCTTGCCTCCTCGTTCTCTAAATCGAGTTGTTCTATTCTACTTCTACTTTTTCTTCCTCTTCAGATTCCTCTTCTTCAAACTCATCGAGTTGTTCTACCTTCTCCCCATGACCATCAATTCTTGCATTCACCTTCCTTTTCTCATTTCCCCATAGGCTCGTAGATTGGACCTTAATTGATGGTACTTACTGTCGGAAGTGTCTGCATCATCGGAATCGTAGACATGGCAAATATCTCATGCAACAGAAGAAGCATCCCCTTCCCCTCCTACTAAGGATTCATCCGAAATTGCATATTGGTTTGGATCATTATCTCCTACCAGCTCGTCCATGAATTCGCCATTTTTAGAGACACACGACTATTAAAATAATTTTCTACCACTATTTTATTCATTAACCTAAGTTAAACAATTTTTAATCATTAAATGCAAATGACAATCACCAAACAAACATAATTTTATCCTAGGGTTTTCACAAGCCAATGAATATTGTACCTAGAATTTTGAGGTGCTCACCATTGGATTAAGGAGCAAACTCGCAACAAGGAGACAACCGAGTAGTTCCGAGAAGCAATTGGTGTGTCCACTGTTGTGTCACTTTCCTACCTTTAATGTTGTGCTACGAACTATAAAAAGGAGCAACCAAGCTTTAAGAAACTATACCCACAATCGAACACCATTACCACAATATTTGAAGAGTACTTATCAGTCGCATCAAAGGAAATAGTCCAAAAATTGAGCTTCGTCGTCACCAGGCAGCTTCGGTGTGATTAGGGTTTTCCATCAAAGTCTCATCCAGATTCCTCAGGTTCGATGGTGGATTCGTCCTCCGCAAGAAGCTTTAGTGTCGTCGGAGAAAGCTCGTCGTTGTTCTGTTACCCGGCCGGATGCATGCACGAGTCGCTCGAGGAAAGGAAGTGATGTTGTGTGATGGATGCGAGGAGGATAATCTGTAGTGGGGAAATGAGTTTCTTTATGGTGGTGGGTTTGTCAATCAAGAGGGCTTCGCTCGTCGCTGGATTTTAGTCGCCTATCTTGAGAAAATGGATTGTTATTCGTTCCTCGTCGTTGGAGGTAGAGAAGATGGGTGGGAACATGAAGACAAGGAAAGTAAAAACGAAAGGGAAAAGAGAAGGACAGGTGGTCGAAAACACTTTTGAAATTTTGTATTTTTTATTAATCCACGTGGAATTATCACTGAGGAAATGTTTCCAAGTCAGCCACTCTATTAGGCTAGTCAGTCTGTTAACTGAAACCATTAAAAAATTGGACGTAATTTATTATTTTGTGTATTTCACAAAAAAATGATTAAAATTATCACAAATGTGGAATTTTTGGTTTTGGCTATTTGTTTACAGGTTGAGTTTTTGTTTTGGGCCTGTCCACATCCAAATTGTCATTGGTCAGCCTTGTTCATGGACAATACTACAGTGCCGCTATAAACAAAAATGTGACACCGGTGACGCAGTCACTTATTGGTCCACATGTATGTGATGTGGCATGGTTAGATTTATTAAATTCTACCCACTGCGTCTGTCCCAGTGTCCCAAACCCAAATCGTACCTCCCAAAGGTAACGGAGAACCACTTGTCCGTTATCTTTTATTTTATAAAATTAAAATTAATCTAAATTATATTATTTTGTACCGGCGGTGTCTCGGAAATCACTCAAGACTACTTGTTCTTCATCGAACCCATGTCCACGATCTACATTTGTCTCCTCCTATACTTATTCAGATTGACAGAGGCAAAGGAATCCATCGTCGCGACCCTGTGTCTCCATTGAACCGGGCCGCCGACAACGGTAAGTTTGCAGAAGCTTACATGTCAGAGAAGAAGAGAGTCGCCTTTCCATGTAGCAAACGTGAAAACCAACTTCTAGGTGGTGCCTAGATCTTGTCGTCGGTGGCCTCCCGCGGGCTCTTTCACTGTTCGTCAAACAGATACCTAAGGTACCACGCTCGCTGGATAGGGTCAATTTTCTGTTTAACCTAGCTTCATTTGGTCAGTGAAAACATGGAATGAGGATATAATTCATTTATAAAAACCTCCAATGATTGAATTGATTCCAAAATGAAAGCTGCAATATCTGGTTTTCTCTTGATGTTTGAGTCATTGATGCTGCAATGGGAGGGTCGGTTTCATGTTTTCCCTTCGTATTTCTGGGTTTAAAGATCAGCAGGTGCTTCCATGCTCTGTCACTGTTCTTGGCGGCCCTGTAAATAAACCAAATGATGTTTGCATATTATTTATGTCTTCTGTTCTCTTGTCTCCATACAACAATCCATGTATCAACCTATAAGTTACGAGCTAAGATCACTCTTTCAGTACATTTTGAATGTATTTGCTCATGTAAGTTGCCAAATTATGAGTAAAAATCTCTCATTTATATATGAGGATGCAGTGTAATAATTACAAGTAACATAGCCACACGATCAAGGACGGCTAGTAAATTGCAGGGAATAGCAGTCACCAACTTTCATCATGTTTTTTCCTTTGTTGCAGCTGGTTATGTGAACTGCAACTCAATCATTAATTGCAGGGAAGGTTGATACAAGCATAGGTGAATGTTGGATATTTAAAATGAAGAGGGAGTTGATCCCTTGATTTTGACATAAATCAAATGGAACAAATTGAATTGAGATAACAACTGAAGGTGTCAACTCTACTGTTGGCCAGGAATATTGGGTGACTTTAGCACAATGCTAGAGATACCAAAAGTTGTAGACTTATATGCAGTCCTTGAAAGTCGAAAGGTAAATAGCAGTCCCAGAAAGTAGAAGACAGAGTGCATAGGAGTGGCAGCGAGGCTTGTGTTCAAGAGACAAAGTGTGGGCATGATTATCAACTGATGTTTCTCTTCCATATTGTGTTGTTTCATTCTGTAGCTTAGGGTGGAATCTGCTAATGAGCACATCAGTTATGGAGACTTGATTTTTGGTATCTTAACTCGAAGAAGCCTAGAATTCTAAAAGGGTATTTATAGAGGGATAGTTGGAGGTTTAGCATGGGATTAGGTTTAATGTCTTGATAGCCTACTTCCCTGTTGGTGTTGTCTGTTTTGCAGCATGTTTTCTTTTCCCGTTTGTGTGTCTATAACTTTTATTCTCTTTTTCCTTAATTTGATATATATTACCATTAAGAAGAAGAAGAAAGAGGTTTTTCTATAAGCTCTCTATTTTAGATTGTTCAGATTGTTGGCCTCTGGAGACCTTCTATTAGACAAAACAAGTACTCTAATCAGCTACAGACAGCTTTTGTGTTTGGCTTTGGTTTACTTTCGTTTAACTACTATCCCAACTGTTGATTGTCTTAGTTTCTTATGTTATATCAGTTTAATACATCACATGAGTAGTGCTCAAGATGATTAGAAACCAATTAGTTGCTAAAGTAGAAGAAGCAGAGAAGAGAAGAGTATCAACTAGAAAAACATTTAACATAATAGATTGGTTACATTTATAACATTTCCTTTCTTGACCTGTTTATTTGGGAATCTCAAATGTTTCCCTTCTTGTTAAAATATAATGAATAGTTAATGATACAAGCCACTATTCAGATATGTCTAACATACTCTCTCTAATCTAGACAAAGTGAGAGCTTTAATATATAATTACAAGTGAGCTCCCATAGCACCTACAACCCTCCACAATTAGCAGTAGAACATGACATTCTTCACATTTCTCTAGATGCTTTGACACAAGCTGTTTATACATTGCTAGTAATCATTGGCACCTAGCACGCATAGATACCCCTGAGCTTTTCCATGTTCAGAAATAGAATTAGGGAAGCGCTAGCGCTAGTGTAACACCATCAATCGCACCAAATAACAAACCACACATACACTTGTGCATTGTGCTGCTTTTCCCTTCACAAGTAGAGGATGACGATGAACAACAAGGGTATGATCACGACCCATGTTGCATTATCTTTTTTCCACGAATAAAACATATTTCTTTTATCTTGTTGGGATCATTCTAGAGCTTCAGAAGAATAAAAAGCTCCCTTGACCAAATAGAACAAACATTTGACTGATAAGCATAAGCAGTACCAGAGCAGCTATATGAGCAAATGGATTCACACTGCTGAGCTATACAACAACTGGTCGCCTGTATCAGGTAACTCATAACCCTAGTTTCAAACGTATGAATATGTGTCCTATCTCTTCGCCTTATGTTCGTAGAACTGCTAGAACTCACATGGACTCTTCAATTGCGGCATTCACATACAACGAGGATCGAAAACATCACCTCGAGATCTTCAGCGCCAAAAATCTGAAATCCACACTAGTATACCTGCTTTTTTTTTTACAACCACTAGTATACCTGCTAGCCGTCGTTGAGAAGCTCAACAATCAGGTCTCCATGCTAGAACTGGTCAGAAAGCTGAAATTCGAGCGCAGCTCCATCGATTTGGAATCGGCAAACAACACAGAGCACGAAGGGAGAAGGGGAATGCGAAATCAGACCGATTTTCATCTTATTTCTATGCCTTTATTTTATTTGTCAGCGAGACTATTCCGCCATAGCAGGTAAAGGAGGAAGACCATGAGGGAGTTCAATGGATACGAACAGGAGATCCTGAAAATTGGATTAGCGACGAAGAGGCGGTCAGAGTGCGAGACAAAGGAATTAAGCTTTGTTGTCGAAAAACAAAACTTCACAGTTGATTGATGATGGGACCACGATCACGAGCGACATGCAGCCCATGCAAGCCACGCAGAAAATGGCCTCTACGAGGACACTCAAGCCCAATTGGCGTTATTATGATTATTATTAGTTTATAATTATTGGTTCGAAGTATAGAGGGTTGTAAGCAACAATATTTATAGTCTTATGTTGGATAAAAATGATTATCAATTCCCCAAAATACAAACCCTAAGGCTTCATTCTGCGCCTAGCAGGAAACAACTCCTGGTTCGTGAGTGATGAAACCATCAATTGGTCAAAGTTGGCCCTGTGATATGTGATTGGGGCGCCTTAACGATGAAGTTCAAGTGTAGGGACAAGTTCTCGTGGCAAGGGCTCTCGCCAACGTGCAAGGCGACTTCGGTAGCGGCGATCGCGCAGGAGGAAGGAGTAGATGGGCTATGTGTTGGCCGATCCAACAGGAGGAAATTGCACCTCTTCCACCGGAGCTACAGGAATTGGTATGCAAATTCGAGGCCATTTTCGAAGCTCCCACTACCCTACCACCCAGCCGTGACGTCGACCATTGCATCAAGCTGAAGGCAGAGATTGAGAAACAGGTTGGGGAGATGCTGGCGGCGGGACTGATACAGCCTAGCTCGAGTCCGTTCTCGTCACCCTTACTCTTGGTTAAAAAGAAAGATGGATTCTGGCTCTTTTCCACATATTATAGTGCTCTTAACGAAGCCACGATCAAGGATCGATACCGCATACCCACAGTAGATGATATGCTGGATGAACTTCATGGGGCCAAATACTTCACGAAGTTGGATTTGCGGTGGGCTATCATCAAATCCGAATGAACAAGGCGGACGCGCCTAAGACTGCTTTCCGAACACACAACGGGCATTGCGAGTATCTTGTTATGCCATTCGGTCTCTGTAATGCCCCATCGACATTCCAAGCAACTATGAACGACCTATTCCGACCTGTTCTTCGCCTGTACGTGTTGGTTTTTTTATGACATTCTAATCTATAGTAAGTCGTGGTAGGAACACTTGCATCACGTCCTCACTACCCTAGCGATCCTGGCTCGCCATCAATACTACGCGAAGTTTTCCAAGTGCGCATTCGGACTACAGGAGCTGGAGTACTTGGGTCATCTCATCTCTGACAAGGGCGTCTGTGTTGATCCGAGCAAAATTTAGGCGATGCTCGTCTGGCCCTAGCCCAGCACGGTCACCGAGTTGCGGGGCTTCTTGGTTTTAACCGGCTATTACCGTAAATTCGTCAAGAATTACGAAAGCATAGCAAAGCCATTGACAGAGCTGTTGAAGAAAGGTGGGTTTCATTGGACGGTTGCTGCTACACAGGCATTTGCGGATCTCAAACAGTCCATGGTCTCCACCCCGGTACTCCCTATGCCTAATTTCCAGCTACCATTTGTCATTGAGGTCGACGCCTCAGGAAAGGGCATTGGTGTCGTTCTATCGCAGGGTGGGCGACCAATCGCATACACGAGTAAGACATTGGGGCATGTGAAAGAAGCATGGTCGACTTATCAGAAGGATATGCACGCCATCATAACTGCAGTGCAGGCTCGGCGTCCATACCTTCTGGGTAAAAAATTTAACATTTATACGGACCAGAAGAGCTTGAAGTATTTATTGTAACAACGAATTGCGACTCTGGATCATCACAAATGGGTAAGCAAGTTGTTGGGTTTTGACTATGAGATTCACTACCAGATAGGGACGAGCAACCGTGCAGCCGATGCTCTCTCGCAGGTCAGACAGGGCGCGCAGGTTAATGCGATCACCCGGCCAGTTTCTAGGTTATGGGACGAACTACAGGCGGCCGTGGTCAATGACCCCTACCTCCAGTATATGCGGGACAAGGCCCTCTCAACAGAGCCCAGATATTTCACCTTTCGCGAGGGTCTTCTGTTCTACTGGGGGAGGATCATTCTTCCTCCATTATCAAGTTTGGTAACTACGATGCTTCAGGAGTTTCACGATGGGCCCATGGGGGGCCAATCGAGTGTTCGGCGAATACTATCCTGACTATCGGGTCACTTTTACTAGTCGCAAATGATTCAAGTGGTGCGGGATTACGTCTCCAGCTGTGACACCTGTCAGCATGTCAAGATGTCATCTTTGTCTCCAGCGGGGTTGCGGCAATCCCTGCCCATATTATGTCATGTTTGGGAGGATATTTCGATGGATTTCGTGGAGGGTCTTCCGCTTTCAGGGGTTCGCTTGGTCCTCTATGTCGTGGTGGATAGGTTGACAAAGTATGTTCACTTTATGTCCCTCAGTCATCCTTTTCCGGCTCGGCAATGGTGGAGGAGTTTATTGACGGGGTAGTCCGCCATCATGGTATGCCAGCCTCGATTGTCTCCGACCGTGATGCATTGTTTCTTAGTGCCTTCTCGAAGGAGTTTTTCTCTCGCACGGGGAATCACATCAACATGAGCACGACCTACCATCCATATTCTACCATCCATAGTCTGATGGGAAGACAGAGGTCGTCAATCGCTGCCTCAGACAGTATTGGCGGTGCTTTCCTCATTCACAGCCTCGCCGCTGGCATATGTTTCTTCCTTGGGCTAAACTATGGTACAATACGTCCTCTCATCGGACCATTGGGATGTCACCGTTTAAGGCATTGTATGGACGAGATCCTCTGAGCATCAATCCCTATGTAGAGGGCGATAGAAGGGTGGGGGCGGTGGACCAGCACTTAAGAGCTCGGGATGCCAATTTGTGCTAGCTCAAAGCGACGCTGGAGGTTGGAATGCCCACAGAAATCATCTGGCAGATGAAAAGTGCATAGATGTATAGTTTGAGGTGGGTAATCATGTTTTAATGCATCTACAGCCCTATCGGCAAAATTCCCTCTTTCGATGCGCTTCACAGAAGCTCGTAGCTCGTTATTTTGGTCCTTACCCGGTGGAGGCTCGAGCTGGGTCGGTGGCTTACATGTTAACTTTGCCGATCGGGGTACGTATTCATCCTGTCTTCCATGTTTCTCTACTCAAGCCATATCAAGGTACTCCCCCACTAACAAAGCCAAGACGCTGCCCGTGACTAAGGATGGTGAACTCGAGGTTCGGCCGATTGAGGTGCTTGACCATCGCTGGCTACGCCAAAGTGGGAGGTTGGTCGCGGAATGCCTTGTTCGCCGGGAGGCTCTCTCGCCGGAGGATGCGAATTGGGAATAGAAGTCCGTCTCCAGGACCGCTTTCCCGACTTCGACCTTGAGGTCAAGGTCACTCTTCCAGAGGGGAGCAATGATGGGACCACGATCACGAGGGACGGGCAGCCCATTCAGCCCACCATGCAAGCCACGCAGAGAAGGGCCTCTACACGGATACTCAAGCCCAATCGGCGTTATGATGATTATTATTAGTTTATTATTATTAGTTTGGAGTATGGAGGGTTGTAAGCAACAGTATTTATAGTCTTATGTTGGAATAAGAATGATTATCAATTCCCCAAAATACAAACCCTAAGCCTTCTTTCTACGCCTAGCAGGAAACAACTCCAGGTTAGTGAGTGACGAACACATCAATTGATAATTTAATAAATGAAAAGAAATTATAAGCCTAAGGTTGGGCTTGAATCAGAAGTTATGCATCCAGTTTGCGGGTCAAAAGAATGGAAGGATTTAACGGGGGAATTTGGGTTTGTGATCAGGGGAATCGATGGATAAAAGGGAAGGAACTAAACTAGCAACTTCAACACACAAGGGAAGAGGCTAATCTAGGTAGAAACTACCATGAGATCAAGGGCGAAAATCTTGATCTCTAGGTCTGCAATTCTTGGCTAACAACCAAGAACAATAGCTCGCAAACTGGAGACTCCTCGAAGTACTTTGATCAAACTCAAAACGTGCATTACAATCAATGAAAAAGGCTATTTATAGCCAAAGAAACCTAATTACAATCCTAAACGAACAAGGCAACAATTCTGAATCAAACAAGGAAAAGAAAACGTTGATAACAATAAAACTTGCAACCCAAGTAACTAACTTCCCTCACGAGCTAACTGTTCAGAAACAGCCCTGGATGTCAACTTAGAGGCTCTAGAAATCGATCTTTTGGATTGATTTTAGCTCGGCCAATTCATTCTCTTAGTTTAGAAAGTTTCACTCTATCATTTCCAACACCGAGCTCCAGCTGGTCATGCCCCAAACTTCATGAATTCCAGCTCAAAGTCGCTACCTCAAACTGTCTCCCTGCCTTAGTTAAAAACTGGCAATTTTTCAGAATGCAGGATAGGTTTTTGATGGCCTTGAAAAACAACCCTCCTGGCCTTCTTTCCACCATCCAAATGCATCAACGTATAGAGGAACACCCAAGCTTCAAAACAAGCCTTCACACGTGCATTTACACTTAAGCCATTTGAGAGATTCAACCTTCCAAAGTAGGCTTCCCATAGCTGTTCCCACACTTAGGTAAATTCCAACTTGTTTCTCATCAACTTGATCCAAACTTTGAACAATTGATTGGAGTTCGTAAGAGGCTATAATTGAGATCATATCAGAGCCCCCTTCTTTAAAAATCTTTGACCTCAAAGCTTGGATCAAGGATCAAATTCCACTCAAACCAAGAGACAAAGTCATTCCAAACAGGGTCGCAAAAAGGCAGGCTATAAATTCCAATTTCCGGCGAGTGTTATCTTTCCGGTGAGCTCCCTAGAATTGGGGCTTTTCGCTTGAAGCCCTTTCGATCCAGTTCATTGTCGCCATCGTCTTCGTCTTGCTCCCATGAAGCAAACGCACCCTTTTGCGATCTCTGGTTGTGCCCAAATCGCCTTGAATCTTGATGGGACTGTTTCTCGCCGCCGGGGAATTTAAATTTCCCAGATTCCAGCGTCGCGTTCCCAGATTCCGGCTAACAAATTCAAAAAATGGGTGTTTCTGTTTCAAGTATCGCCAAACTGGTTTCTCGTGTTCCCTGAGACTCCAGAAAGCTTCCCCAAGGGTCGGATTGGGTCGAATCGCTTCCAAACTCTTCAACCAATTCGTCCATTTTTTGCTCGTTGTTCGGCTCGCGTAGTGGCGAATTTTTGATTATGTGATCCTACGATTGGGCTTGCGCCAGCTGGTTCTAGTCATTTTTACACGTTGGGTGAAATTGGAACGTGTCTGCGCTGGTGGTTTGTTCCAACGTGGCTCCAGCTGTTCCCTCCCTTTTGGTACACTTCAGGGCAACCGGAAAGCAGAGTCGTCGCGCTCTGTTTCGTTTTGGGACTGTTCTGCCCGCGAGAACGGTCTGTAAGTGCCGACGAGCCATCAAATTGGTTCCCTTCTCGTTGCCTGGAGGAGAATTAATAGAATCCCCCTACTCTGGTGCTCGACTTTTTTCCATATGTTGTTGATCGGATCGAACTTCTTCCGACATCATAGGTTTGAGCACCATCTTCTGTCCATGATGTCTAAACGAGTACCGATTCGTTCTGCCGTCGTGAGTGACTAGGCGATCGAATTGCCAAGGTCGCCCGAGCACCAGGTGAGCGGTCCGCATCGGAATTAAGTCAAATATGAGCTTATCGTGGTAATTTTTGATAAAAAAACGGTACCCAAGCTTGCTTGTTTACCTTGATCACCGTGTGGTCACTAAGCTAGTGAAGGGAGTAAGGCTCTGGCCGAGGTATCATGTATAATCCCAACATCTTGACGGCGTCGAGACTTACGACGTTTGTGCAGCTACCCCCATCCACAATGACGGTAAGAACCTTACCTTGTACTTGACACCTCGTGTGAAAGAGGTTACTTTGCTGGTCCACGACGGGTAAGTCCTCCTCTGGCTTGTTAAGGCCCTCTACAGTACGAGCAATGGACCATCAGTTGCTTCCATCTCTTCTCCGATCTCGGAGTCACCTATATGCTTCTGCTTCTCCTCTTCTTCATCATCAGAGCAGTAATTCCCATCCCGAAGGATCATCACCTTCTGATTGGCACATTGATGTGCTTTGTGGCCATACCCATGGCACTTAAAGCAGCGAATGCTACCACTGGTCACACCAACCTTCTCTAGAACAGCTAGGGTGGCGTTTCTCGCCATGTTTCGCGGCAATTCATGCTTCAATTCGGATTCTTAGATTGGTTTAGGGACATTGTTAGCGGTAGGAAACCTTCTGCTCGGATTTTGCTGCTTCAATTGCTTCTCGACCTTTACCCCTAGCTGAACGACTTCTTCAAGTTCCGCGAATGGAAACAGTTCTACTTGGTTGTTGATGTCCCTGTTTAGACCCTGAAAAAATTGACTAATGGTAGCCTCCTTATCCTTGCTGATGTCGGCTCAGGATCATGAGGAGCTCCATCTCCCTGAAGAATTCTTCCACGCCTCGACTGCCTTGGCGAAGAAATTGCAAGCTATTGTGGAGCTCTCATTGATAATATGCAGTCACAAAACGCTCTCTCATCAACATCCTAATCTCCATCCACGTCTTGACTAGAGGTAAGCCAACTCGTCACCTCTTGATACTCAATTGTTCCCACCAAGCTGTTGCGTAGCTCCCAAATTCGTAGGCAACTAGCTGGACCTTCTGTCTCTTGGTGTAATTGAGGCAGTCGAAAAACAGAATCACTTTGCGCTCCTAGTCCAGGTATTCAGCTGGGTTAATACTCCCCTAAAACGAGGAAATAACAAGCTTGATCCCCTTCAGTTAATCAGCTGCTCCCGTGTCTTGGTGTCGTCGATCGCGATCACGGAACTCGTGGTTATGGGTGTACGTGGGCACCGGGCCGTGCCGCCCACGGGCTAGCACGGCACGACACGGTTAGAGCACGACACGAGCACGGGCACGAAATAAATGGGCCAGCCCGACACGAGCACGAATAATTTATGGGCCGTGACGGGCCTAAACTTGATGGACACGGGCACGACACAGTATATAAGTGGGCCATGTCGGGCCTAATATTTTCGAGACTTTATTGAGTATAAGAACGAACATGGCAATAATATAATATTTATTTTATTGAAAATAAATATAAAAAGAATTATTTATTGTTGTTAGAAGTGTCATAACGATATATACGTAATTACTAATTACTAACATAAGTAAAAATGGACAAAGAATTAAACAAAGCCAAATCACACTCGCTATACTTCCAATTTTCATTCCCCCTTATTTGTTACTTTTCTCAAACATTATCGGTGAATACTATCTTCCTCCGTCCAATTTTCACCTTCTTTTTCATTCTTTCTTTTGTTTTCGTCCTTTTCATTAAACACGAATACGAGCATGGCACAAGCACGAATAGGCACGGTACAATTTGAACTGTGCCCGGGCCTGGGCCGGGCCTAGCAAAGTTAACAAATGGGCTTGCATGGCACGACACGAAAACTAACGGGTCGTGCCAAGCACGGCACGAAATAAATGGGCCCGAAGCGTGCCCGTGCCATGCCGGCCCAAGCACGGTCCAACGGCCATGTACAGTTATGGGGCTCCCTTCAGGTATGATTATGCACCTCTCCAGATTGCTAATTTGTTCCTCGAATGCTCACGCATTCTGCACTCTACTTCCTTCTGAAGTCGCGTCTTCCTCTGCCGTTGTTTTAGGCTCGGTCGCCGTCGACTTCTATTCAGCCAATTGCTGGTTGATGTGATCAAATTTGGTCTGGAATGTTGCGTTAAGCTGTGCCATAATTGTCTGCAACATATCTGGCATGTTAATCCGCTGCCCTGCCATGTTGGATTCTTTAATTTCAATCTCCTCGTCGCACTCAGAGTCAGACTCTGTTTCTTCGATTTTCCGCAAAGCAATTGGATCCTTCGTTCTCGTTCTAGTTGCAATAGGCCGATTGTCCCGCTTCTTCTTTGTTGTTGCCGCTGTGTCTGAACCAGGCGATGATGCCACTTGATAAGCCTAAGGTTGGGCTTGAATCAGAAGTTACGCAGCCAGTTTGCGGGTCGAAAGAATGGAAGGGTTTAACGGGGGAATTTGGATTTGTGATCAGGGGAATCTATGGATAAAAGGGAAGGAACTAAACCAGCAACTTCAACACACAAGGAAGATGCTAATCTAGGTAGAAACTACCACGAGATCAAGGGTGAAAATCTTGATCTCTAGGTCTGCAATTCTCGGCTAACAACCAAGAACAATAGCTCGCAAACTGGAGACTCCTCGAAGTACTTTGATCAAACTCAAAACGTGCATTACAATCAATGAAAAAGGCTATTTATAGCCAAAGAAACCTAATTACAATCCTAAACGAACAAGGCAACAATTCTGAATCATGGTAACTTTGGTAGGGATGATCGCCATATAATTCACCTCCACCATGGATACCCGATGTTTGACCGTGTCCAGAATGACCTCCAACGCCTACAACCAGCTCGGTGTAAACGAACATCTCGGCTTTGGAAAGATTGTTGGACCTCATGAATTTGAGCATGGCGTCTACCTCATCTTGAGTGGTTATGAGATATTCCTCATGCCACAATGACCCACTTTCTCTGTTAGGATATCGGTACACCATACGATCAACTCTTCTCGTGCCATCCATGCAAGTAACGTTAGTGCACATTTGATGGAGGTCTTCAAGCAGCGGTTTGGTAGCGACCTTTATCTTCTGAAAATTGCCACCTACGTAGGTGACCCCCTTTCCGGTCTCTTCCGTGTAACCATCCACCGTAAGCCAAGCGTGAACTTTTGGAATGCCATCTGCGATAAAACCGTAGTGCAGTTAATATCATAAAAATAAAAAATAACAATAAAAAGTAATACTAAATCAACTTACGAGTTAACGTTAATCGCAAAACTACTAAAGAAATATAGAGCTACAACAGAAAATTGAAAAGGGAGAAGGAGAGGTGTGAAGAGAAGTGGTTGTCCGGGAGGCCTTTTATAGGCAAAATCACTGATGAAAACCGCACCTTAGAGGTGCGGTTTTCGTCTGCCATGCAGGCCCATGCAGACCCACGTCTGTTACGTCTGCATGGCATGTCGGAAATTGATTGACCAAAACCGCACCTTCAAGGTGCGGTTTGTATGGCAAAATCTCACCATGAGGATGCGATTTTGTTTGGGAGAAACAAATCGCACCTTTATGATGCGGTTTTAATAGGTCAGACCTAAAACCGCACCTCGGCCAAGCGGTTTCAGTAGGTCAGACCTAAAACCGCTTGGCTAAAATGCGATTTGAGTCCAGAAAATTGGAACGCACCTTACTAGTGCGATCTATTTGTAAAACGCACCCTTAGGGTGCGATTTAAATATAAAACGCATCTACAAGGTGCATTCTACTAAAAAGGGTGCTATTAGTGTAAATTTTTACGGATGGGTGCTATTTTTGCAAAAAAAAATTAAAGGTTCTATTTCTGGAAAAATCCCCTCTCAAGCTGGAGAACTCCTCGGAGTACTTTGATTAAACTCAAAACGTGCATTACAATAAATGAAAGAGGCTATTTATAGCCAAAGAAACCTAATTACAATCCTAAACGAACAAGGCAACAATTCTGGATCAAACAAGGAAAAGAAAACGTTGATAACAATGAAACTTGCAACCCAAGTAACTAACTTCCCTCACAAGCTAACTGTCCAGAAACAACTCTGGATGTCAACTTAGAGGCTCTGGAAATCGACCTTCTGGATTGAGTCGAGCTTAGCCAATTCCTTTTGGTTTAGAAAGTTTCACTCTATCATTTCCAACTCCGAGCTCCAGCTGGTCATACCCCAAACTTCGTGAATTCGAGCTCAAAGTCGCTACCTCAAACTGTCTCCCTCCCTTAGTAAAAAACTGACAATTTTCAGAATGCAGGATAGGTTTTTGATGGCCTTGAAAAACAACCATCCTGGTCTTCATTCCACGATCCAAATGCATCAACACATAGAGAAACACCCAAGCTTCAAAACAAGCTTTCACACATGCATTTACACTTAGCCATTTGAGAGATTCAACCTTCCTAAGTAGGCTTCCCATAGTTGTTCCCACACTTAGGCAAATTACAGCTTGTTTCTCATCAATTTGATCCGAACTTTGAACGATTGATTGGAGTTCGTAAGACGTTGTAACTAAGATTATATCAAGAAATACAGGAAAGAAACGTTGGCTCCGTTAGTTTGTGAGAGGTGGTTTGGGTAACTCCTTATGGGCCACCGAAATTGGGTTCATATTTAATAATTCAGTCTTGCCACATCAGCCCACGTGGACCAATAAAAAACTGTGTCATCAATGCCACACTTTTTACAGCGACACTGTAGTATTGACCCTTGTTCACATGGTCGCCTTTCACTACCCAATCAACTCTCTCCCTCTCCTTCTTATCTTATATAGGGCGATGGAAACTTTGATACAACAAATAGAAGAGGACGAGGGCAGTTGAAGTCGCCAATCAATCAGGCAAGGCAATCACCATATACCGTGGCCGTGGATGTGGGCTTTCATTTTTGTAGCAAATGGGATGGAATTTTAATTGGATAGCCCTCCGTGCTGGCTGGGCCAAAACGTCGTTAGTTACGAGGGTGCTGAATTCTACATTTACGACCAACCCCACTGCCGACAAACATACGATCCGATACAAATTTTGTAATCCCATCTATAACACACTAATCAATCCTCCTCCTGTCTTCCGTCAAATCAAATCGAACGCCCCGGCTCCCTCAAAATGTCGATTCTGGCATCAGATGAGGCCCTCTTCCGCAACTGCCTCCTCGCCTTCTACCTCATCGGCCCTCTCACCTACATCTCCCTCCAATTCCTCTCCGCCCCTTACGGCAAACACAGCCGGCCAGGCTGGGGTCCCACGATCCCGCCGGCGCTAGCGTGGTTCCTCATGGAAAGCCCTTCCGTATGGCTCCCCATATCGATCTTCCCCTCGGGCAGGCACGCCGCCGATCGCAAGGCCCTGATTCTCATGTGCCCTTTCGTAGTCCACTACTTCCACCGCACCTGCATCTACCCGCTCCGGCTCTACCTGCACGGCGGCGGCGCCGGTTTCCCGGTGAGCATGGCGGCGGCGGCGTTCTGCTTCAACCTGCTGAACGGTTATCTGCAGGGGCGGTGGGTGTCCCACTACAAGAGCGACTACGCGAGCGACGGGCTGTTCTGGGCGAGGTTTGTGGTTGGGCTGGCGGTGTTCGTTTGGGGGATGCGGATCAACATTTGGGCCGACCGGGTCTTGGTGGGCTTGAAGAGGCAAGGCGGCGGGTACAAGGTTCCGAGAGGCGGGTGGTTCGAGCTGGTGAGCTGCCCGAATTATTTGGGGGAGGTCTTGGAGTGGGCCGGGTGGGCGGTGATGAACTGGTCGTGGGTCGGGTTCGGGTTTTTGCTGTACACGTGTGCCAACTTGGTCCCCAGGGCTCGTTCCAATCACAAATGGTACTTGGACAAGTTTGGGGAGGATTATCCCAAGGCTAGGAAAGCCATATTCCCTTACTTGTACTGAAGAAACATCATTCCAAGCAGAAGCAGTAGCCTTTTTTCTTTCTGGGTTCAGAGAGCTGGTGGGTTCGGGTTCGTGTTCGTGTTCGAGTTTTGGTGTGCTCTAGCGTCGTTGTACTGTTTTGTTTCACGACTGTTTCTAAGTGTTTGTGTGTGGGATATATATATCTGTAATGGCTGCAACCAGCTGAATCTTGGGAGTACGATCGCTTGTTTTCTTCCGTTGCCCAACTCTTACGAAAGCGTTAACAACAAACACAATCAACTTGACTTTTTAACATTGAAGGAGATCACTAATGCTTCCAAACTTATTGTGCAAATGATTGTACGTGTTGCAGTATCTGCTACAAGTAAATCCTTCTATGAGCAGTGAATTCATATTCATTCTTCTCGATTTTATCTCATTGTATCAACTCATGACCAAACCTTGCGTATACTTATGAATGAAAAAGGTTACCCATTCGGGAGATCTTGCAGACACTAGTAAGGTTAGATTACAACCAGCACAAATCTTCACAACTCCTGTGGACAGGGTACACAATTAAAAGGCTGAACACAGCAAGTATGCTTTTATATCAACAGATGAGTTTTCTTTTATTACTGATAGGCGGAAGTCAGCTAGCTAACTTCTGAGAGTGAGACCACTCATGATTATAGCACCACAGTGTATATAAAAACAAAGTTTGTTTCTATTCGGCAGGATCATTCTTCAGTAAAATAGGATGCAAACTAATAATAAATTAACTCAACTGGACTCCGTACCAAAAGGGTTTCAGGCGAACCACAAATATCAACTCTCATCTTCAAGAGGGAAAAGAGAACAAAAACCCAACACAAAAACAATTGCTATTGGCTGTGCGATGTCATGTTTCCCATGGAAGACCAAAACCTCGTGCACTCTCTTCTGTCAGGCATCGTAACCTTACAAATATGGTGGGAACATGAAGGTCCATGGTTCTGAAAATCTTTACCGCTGTGGCTACGTCTTCAGGATTATTATACCTACCAAAGAAAGAGGACCGAAATTAGACAATAAAATCTTCATCCTGACTGTAACAGAAGACTGTTACTGCGTTCAAAAATGTCCGTTCAAGGAACTCACTCGGTTTGCGCCATAGTTAATCTCCACCCTAGAATCATCATGCGGGGAACCATTGTTGTTCTGATCAGCATCTTTGAAGGTACCATCCAACCCTCCGAGAGACTCCACGGTTTTGGAAACCTCTGCGCTCAGCTGAACATGCTTCTCTTTTAGATCAGGGGAGCTTACAGCAGCAGCGACTCTCTGCTTAATTTGGTTTTCTAGAGCTTCAATTTTATTTCTGGCAGTTTGATCAGGCGTAGTTCCTGCCTTTGCAACCTCCACTTTCAGCAACTGGATCATATTTTTAATATGTGGCGAGTTGATTGCATCTTCAATCTTCTTGTTAGTTTCTTCTTTGAGAGTTTCAACCTTCGCCTTCAGCTCTGGGAGAGAAACTTGCTCATCATCTTGTTTTGTACTCGGTTTCACAACCTCAACATCAAACCCCAAGGACTTGAGGTCATTTGCCAATTCCACATCTATCTCTCTCTTCATCCTGCCAATCCTCTCTTTTGTCTCCCGATCAGGATTCTCAATCCCAGAAGCACGTAGCTTTTGAATCTCAGCCTTCAATTCTTCAATCTTCTCCTTTCTCTCTGGCCTACCCATGATGATCTCTTTCAGCTTTTCATTCATCTCCTGCTTCAGTTCCTGAGCCTTATTGTTCCTCTCCGAGATGCTCTTCACTTTAGAGAACTCATTCAACATATCGAGCTTATACTTGAGGTTCCCATAATTTGGAGCAGTAGAAAGGCCTTGATCAAATTCATTTTTCAGTTTCTCAATCTTGTCCATCAGTGACGGATGCATGAGCTGTTGTTCTGAGTTTGATTTCCTGAATTCTTCCCTTAACATCGAGATCCGGTCTTCTAGGCCAATGGAATTAATAGCTTCAGAGAATTCGAGATCGACCTCCCGCTTCAGTTTTGTTATCATCTCGTCCAGAGCTAGTTCTGAGGGCTTGTTGCTAGCAGATGATTCCATAGCTTTGAAAATTTGCTTCTTCACCTTTTCAACCTCGTTCTCTAATTCTATAACTGGGATCTTTCCTGAAACGGATTCTTCTTTCTTCTTCATATTGACCTTTCTCTTGGGATCAATAGGAATGCCCTCCTGAAACCCACCGAGTTTCCGGAACTTGAGATTACGATGTTTTAGCAAGTTTTCTGTGTCCAGTTTGGTGAGCTCCTGGAGAAAAACGCAAGATTTATGTTAAGATGCGAAACAAATAGATCTTATACGGGAAGATCACAAAACCTAGATTTTCACTTACATCCATAGATTCAATAATTGCTTTCTTTATCTGTTGTGAGGTCCATGAGGGATCTGCATGTGCCCCCCCAAGTGGCTCCTACAAAACAAGAAAAAGGTCGTTTCATATTCCCAGGGATGGATCAAAGAGACTTGAGCTTATTAAAAGAAGTGGACATAAAGAAGCAGACAGAAAAGACAAAACACGAGTTTGATAATAGATCTTAAGAATAGAATAAGGCTAGAGGATTGTACAGGTATTATCCCGTCGCAAATCTGCAGCTTGCACAATTCATTAGCAGTAATCTTCAGCTTCTCGGCAGCCTATTAGCGAGAATAAGATTCAAGAAACACAGAAACAAAGACCTTGCTGTCAAACAAGGGACTACAGTATTTCAGTTAATCAAACACCTAAGTGAGCTACATAATGTGAGAAAGTTAGAATGAAACAAAACCTTTGGAGAAGCTTTGGCAGTCTTCCACAAAATCGCAGCACATGCTTCTGGACTATATTTCCAAAGAGAGAAGTAGTTAGGAGGCAATCTATTGGTAAGCCTCAACATGAGTGCATGCTGCCCATCATAAAGTAATGACTTGGAAAGATGCTAGAGATAATGACTTGGCATAACTTCTTTTTACTGAAATCATGGCGCCATTCAGATAAGGACACACGGAGGGGGGACGATTTGCTTAGCCTTTCTAGCCCATTATAAGAGATACATAGCAGCTTAAAGTTTGTCTTAGCGATCAAGATAATAACATAAGAGAGTTGAGACTAGCAAAGGCTATTCTGAGACAGAACACGAATATCAACAAGCTGACTGACTACCGCTTACAAATTACAACAACAACAACAACCACGAGCCTTGTTTAAGACATGCAGCTGGCATAAGCAACAATATTATGGAAAAGAAAGCCTAGAGTCGGACTGAAAATTACCTTGCAACATAGAAGACGGCATTTTCAAGCATCAACAATTTATTAGCACAGCCTATGGCCAGAGCACCACCAGAGCCACCCTCACCAATAACAATTGAAATTATTGGTACCTTTAGACCAAACATGGTCCTCAAGTTGTGAGCAATTGCTTCACCCTGCATGTGCATAAAGAGAATGCATCAGCTGAGAGGCATTTCATGAAAAGTGCAAATATTGTACATCGTAGCGAAAAACCATACTTGGCCTAGCTCCTCAGACTTAAGGTCGGCAAATGCTCCAGGCGTATCAATAAAAGTAACAATGGGAAATCCATGGTGATCTGCATAATACATCATTCGTAGAGCCTTCCTATAACTGTTCACCAATAAAATCAACCAATGTGTGAGATACTATAAACCATACTTCAGCATAGATATAAAAAATGATGGACAAGATCTTGTTGTATAATTTTTTACTATGATGATAAAATAAAATATGATCAAATCAAACATACCCATGAGGTGTGGGCATCCCGAAATTGCGCATAATATTCTCTTTAGTGTTTCTACCCTTTTGGTGGCCCATAAACATGTATCTTTTACCATCTATAGTTCCTATCCCAGTTACAATAGCAGGATCATCATAACCTGCTCGGTCGCCATGAAGCTCCACAAACTGGAGACAAAAATAGATACCAGGAAATGAGTTCAGAGGCATTCACCGATGCACTAAATAAAGAAAAAGTGAAGTTGACAGCTATCAGAATGGACCATGCATATGCATGCAGCAAACCTTTTCTGTGATGCTAAAAACATGATCGAGGAAAGTGGGCCTGTTAGGATGCCGTGCAATGTTCACACGTTGTATAGGGGTCAAATGGGTATACAAATCTTTCAGGGCCTGAAACAAAACAAGAACACATTGAAAATTGAAATGCCTAAACATGAGTCCAGCAGCATGGACATTTTACACGGTAATGAAGTTCTGAACCGTTACTTCAATGAAAGTTTCCAAACCCAACAATCCATAGACAGAATACCCCGTGCACAATTCCTCCACATTGAATAAAAAATGAACAAGTAATCTACTATAACTAGTTACCAACAACCATAAGACCTATCAAACCTGTTGATATTTGTTCTCCAATGAGACAATCTGATCAGTAAAGTCCAGACCAGTATCATTTGCCATCTTCCTCACCTGCACCACCCAAGAAGGGGGGAAACAAAAGTTTTGAAGCAGTAAGTGAAGAAGTATGAAGACTAGTACTACAAATTCACAGAAGAAGGAAGAACTAAGAGAGGGAAGAGTGAAATTTACATCAATGATCTTCCTTTCCAGATCAACGAGAGGCTTCTCGAAATCCAAAGTGACAGGCTTTGGCCTCTCTTTCATAGGCTTAAAATGAGAGAGGTGAGAAAGGACTCCGCCCTTGACATTGGGATCCGGATCATCGGGCCATGGATACTCGTGCTTCTTAACCTTTCTAACCTTGGCCACAATTGACAAATCCCTAGCTCGCGAGCTGGACCCTGCCAACTGCTTTCTCCCTAAGGTTCTCAAAGGGATACCGGAGATACCACTGCTTGAGCTCCGGAGAAGATCCGAAGCCTTTGGCCCGGTGAGTGCAGCTGGAGAATGCGGTAAGGTAGCCATTCTCCCCAACTCCAGGGTCAGCGCTCCGATCAAGTCCGCAGCTAGTTAACGACTCCCACCCAAGCTATATCAATAACCAACCGCACTCACCAAATTCGAATCTGTGAAAAGCACAAGCTCAATCAATTCAATTATAAAGAAACAAGCAGCTCGCTTCTGGCGGCTGAGCAAACGGGGAAGAGAAAAGAAAAGACAAAAAAGAAGCATTTCGAAGGTCGTCGAATCCAAAGCATCGCATTAATCCAGAAGCACTGAACGAAGCAAGCAAGAAATGCCGAAGCACCGAAATAGGCATCGGTACTAATTCATCCATTCTCAGGAATTGAAAACAGATTCAAGCATGCAACAAGCTGAAGAGGGGAGGCGAGGGAAGAAGAAGAAGCGACTAAGCAGAGGGAGGAGAGATTTACCATGAAGAAGCAGCAGGATGTCGCAGAGGAGTGAGGTTTGAAAAGGGGGAGAGAGAGGATTAAGAAGCAATGCGGGAGAGGAAGGGGGGGGAGCTTCGTGGAGATCGTCAGTGAAAGGGGTCGCTGGTTTTGGAATTTTGTCAAACACCAAGGATACAATTCATTGATTCACAGGGAGAGGGGGAAGAGAGAGAAAATGGTTGGGGGTTGAGCTGTGGTTTTTGAGGGACGAGGCGATACTTCTTAGGTGAAGTTTTTTTCGCGATGGGGAAGGGAACGAATATGAATGGACGGCTGGCTTGCTTGCTTGTTTGTGCTCACAACGTGGCACGTGGGCCGTCAAAACTGTTTCTTCGCATTGGAGTTGGCCGATGGGTTCGATGTTTATCCCCTAGAACTCGACTCCACCCAGATAGATAGATCCTCTCTCTCCTCTACATTTCCTCCTACTTCTGTTCTGGCTGGGCCTGTCAGCAGATATTAAACCCTAGTGTCATGCTTACCGGCTCCTGCACACATTTTGATTCCTTCTTACCGTACCACGCTGATTAACCCAAACTAGTCCTTCGTTATTTTTCATTTTTAACCACCAAGCTCTTTCCATTTCAATGAAGAAATACGGGCGATTAGTTGCAAAGCAAATTCTATCAAAGCATATGCAAGACGAAGAATTACGGACGTTGATCTAAGTAGGAATTAGAGCATTGGCATTACACTAATCGGGTTTGACATTAGCCCGACATGGTAAAAATCAAACCTTAACCATACAAAATCACAAGCCAATATCATAAGCATTACCTCAATCCAAGCAAACATAAAACCTTTTGCTCCGGCCACAGTCATTGAAGATTAATAAAAATAGAGAGCCAACCAAACCATTAATATTTTGATACTGGGTGTTGGATATGGCCACTAGATTACTTGTGAGCCTTAGGAACAATAAATCTTATGTGTACAACATATCGAACGAAGTCCTAGCACCCGTCCGGGTATCGTTTCCACATGGTTTTATGGTAGTAAACTCAAGTCCTGTTAGTTTTGGTCTTCAACAGCCTACATACGAGAGCAGGCTGGATTTTACAGGAGTTGGGTTAGGTCAGTCGACAACGGAGCCGATCGGGCTCAGGATGGTGGCGAATGGAATGGGTCTAGGGCTGACGATAAGGCTGGTAGGGGTAGCCGTAGTTGTGCCGGATACTAAGCCGCTTTGAGCCATAACTCTCGGGCCTCTCAATTGGGCGGAGGCAAACCAAATGGGCTGGACAAGAGGAGCTTCGTGGGCCGGAGATGGTGGAGGCAGACCGAGCGGAGCAACTTTGGGAGCAAGCGACCATTGTGCTTGGCCAAGTATGGGCGGAGGAAGCTGGCCACCAGCGGGTGGCGAGGAGGGATGGAACAGGCCGCATTGGCCAAGGAATGGCCTAGTAAGTCGGAGTGTGTCCGAGGGAGGTCCGTCATCGGGTGGAGAAATGAACCGAGATGAGTACCGGTCGAGACCATTTTGACCCAAACTGACCCTACTAGAGTTCCCAAATTTCAACGGTAATGAAGACCCATTCAAATGGTTCGCGGGGTGAAACAATTTTTCAAATTTCAAAAGAATCATGAGGAGCATAAGGTGTCGCTTCCATCTCATCATACGGAGGGTGATGCAAATCAATAATGGCGATGGATGGGTCGCACGTACGTCACGTCGTGGATGACAATTACATGGCACGATTTTGAGAGGAGAGGTGGACTCGATTTGGGCTATCGGAAGGAGCTAATCGATGTTGAGGCGCCAATGTTGCCCTGCCTCCCTGTACAACCGAACCGCAATGTCATCCCCAAATGTGGAGAAATCCCAAAGGTAGGGATGATCAAGATTAACCATTGCCTACAAAAACACACACACAACCAAACATCGTACAAATATAGTGGAAAGGTTAGAAGTGCAATTTGGGGAGAACAAAGATCCCCCCCCCCACCACACATACACACTCTTAAGTAGAAATCATAGGGTCATGGTTGGTATAGGGTGTAAACAACATCATAAGCATTCTTACTCACTCTGAATATCACAACTAATTCCCGCCTAAGGTCCAAGTTAGTAGGGTGCAATACAGGGCAAGTATGTTAAAAATTGACTCGGGGCGGTCCGTGTACTCCTCCTTCAATTGTTTGAAACATTATCTAGCAAATCGATTTTGGTTGAAAAGTTTGCTAATTAAAGTAAAACAAGGCAAAAGTAAATGGTTTTGAATCGAAGTGATTGTTATGGGCAAGGTGACCGTGAACCTCTAGGAAATGCAACAATGGTCGTAGACCACACTCTCGATTGCCAAACCAAGGGATACATTATAGGCTACTCAAGTAGCCCTCTTGGTTAAGGCAATCGATGATTGACTTACTCTCTCACTCAACCCAAGGGTTAGTTGGCTTAATCGCGCTTAAACAAATTGCTTAATTCAACATAGAGGTTTGCCCTACATTAACCTAGATTGGTGACTTAAAAAGCCCAAAGATCCCAACTCAATTGAGCCTCCCTTGAAAGGGGGTTTTCCCTATAATCTAGGTTAGAATGGCCAATTGGATTGCTAAGAACAAACATGCACATCAACATGAAAAATACCTCAATCATCGAATTAAACAATCATCCAAACCACACAACAACTACATGGTAAATAGTTAGGATTTCACAACACCCAAGTGAAAAAGGAAACTACTCCATGCTAGAAAGGGGAAGAACACAAGAGGAGGAGGTAGAAACCATCATGGTTATACCTCCAATCTCCTTTGAGCTTTTGTTGATCTTTTCTTGGAGAGAATCTTCCCAATTCACCACTTGGAGCAAACCCTAGCTGACACGCTAAAACACAACACCAAACTGCGACCAAGTGTAATCGCAGCCCGGAAATACAGTAAAGTGGCAAGTTCTATTTATCAACCCGGGTTCTAGATCTACTGCCTACTCCGTGATGATTTATTATCTAGCAAACTAAGTTGATTGAATGTGGTTTTAAGCAAAAACAATAAGAAAGCAGGAAATGGTTCGAAGTTCTTAAGCAGAGGAAGAGTCACTCGAGAATGAGTCCCCCTAGCTCCTTAGTTAGGTCAAAGTTGTAATTACCTTTGGTTGATTTTACCGTTGATTAAACTGCGAAAGATCCGACAGTAGCTTGAAATCTCTTAAGCTGACCAAGCCCTCTCAGACAGACTAATCGGCAGGCGACTAGCCTTCATCGATAGACTGCTGAGGCAATAAACACAGAACTCCACTAGTGGAATTGGATTCCAGTACAAAGCAGTAAATCGATTAACTCTCGTATAACCAATCTACTACTACCGATTGATGAACCTCTAACAATCTAATAAGATTCTATCTATCTCAGGTTGCAGTAGAAATCAAGAAAAGATTGTCAGACTTCAATTGACTCAATGAATCATGCATCAATCGATTAAAATCAATCAGTATATCAATCCAAAGTCATTACAATCAAGATTCCTAACACACGGAACTAAGGTTCTTCATACCCAAGTGAGAGAAGGTTCTACTCCATAGAGAGAGAGGAAAACAGAAATCAGAGCAATCATACTCTTAAAGATGGGGATAATCTGCTCTGGGATGTCGATCTTCACTCCTGTGGATGCAATTTGGGCTTCAATGGTAAGAAATCCACTCCAAATAGCTTCTAGGGTTTGTTCTTTGCACTTTCTCTCTCTAAAACTATGTTTTCTGCTCAAAAAGTCGATTCCCTTCCCTTTGGTTCGAGTCTGCCTCAAAAACCCGATTCTGGGCGAAATACGGGCTGAATTACGGTCGTAAACATGGTATGCCGGTATTTTGCGCAAAACGTATGTTTCACTTAGCGTTGATGAGAGGAAAATACGGTCGTCATTACCAAATTACTGCCAGTATTCATGGAATTACGATAGTAATTCATTCTGTTCTTGCCCGTATTTTGCTCTTCGACAGACATTCTCAAGGATTTGGCTCGACATTAGAATTACGGTCAGGGCAGTGGCAATTACGCCCGTAATTATGCAGGGGATACTCGTATTTCGAATCTTGAATCGCCAACTGACCTCCAAATGACTCAAAACTTGCGCCTATGCATCCCTTTACTCGCTAGGACCTGAGATATGACAAAACAACACAACCTAGCGTAAAATAGGCCAAGGAACCACAAATTCGAGCTAAAATGGTCGGGAAACAAGAGTGCAAACAGGTGCAAATACGATGCTATCACTAGCCTTCTTTCTTCTTTGGTTTGTTCTTTCTCTCTCTAAAATCTGAAGAAGAAGACACTTTCTCACTCTTTTGCTCTCCCCTCTCTCTTCCTTTCAGCTCTCTTTTAAACAGGGATCGGGCTCAGTTCACGGCCTCAGTTCATGGCCGTGAACTCTTGAATGCGTCCGTGAATTCAAGTTTGGCATCAAAACACACCACTTCGCTTGCTCAGGTTCACGAGCAACAACCCCAGTTCACAGTCTTAGTGACAGTGAACTCGCCTGGCGTTAGTAACTTCGGTAAGTGCTATGGTCTATGGACGCCTTGATGTTCATGGTTCATGCCTCCTCTTCTCCCGGTTTTTGCTCATTTTCGTCCAACTTTCGACTCCGGGGTTGTTTTCACCTGTTAGATCCTGAAACGTGCTAAAACACAAGAAACCTAGCGTAAAACCACCCTTTTAGGAGCACAATTGCCACAAATGCCTAAGGAAAACGGGGGTAAAATGCTTACAATTAGGCCCGAATCACATACAAGGGAAGCATAACCGGGTTAGAGGCAACCATGGACATGAAAGTAGGGGTACGCTAGATAGAAACTGAATCAACAACAACCCTAATTAATGCATTGAAACTCATCAACTAATTACGTTAGCAGATTGGAAATGGGCGTATAGCTTCAATGTTGAAACCGAGTTGGATTTCTCGTCTACATCCCCATCCCCCAATGTATAACCCTCAGGTGCTTTCTAAGGATGGAGATCTTAAGGTGGCAGATGTCCTCTGCCATGAAGAGGGGCGCTGGTCTGACATTAAGCTCTGCCACTGGTTTTGTCCAGAAACTTGTCGGGCAATCAATGCGATTCCTCTACCTCGCCAGGATATTGAGGACATGCTTATCTGGCATGACACGTGCGATAGGATTTCAATATAAAATTGGCATATCACCAGCTGTGTTGTTAGACAAGCAGAGAGGTGATTCCCCGGTCCCTCTCTAGTTAAAGGTATTCTTGTGAAAAATCTTCAACCGGATCCTCCCAACGACGGAAGTCCTAATTAAAAAGGAAGTCTAGGTGCTTCCTAGATGTCCGGTTTGCTGGGTTGAATAGGAAACGATGGAACATCTATTTTTAGATTGCCTGGTGGCAAGAGCTTTATGGGATCATTCTGTCCTGGATCATCTTGGTCAAGGGTTACCACGTCATACTTTCCCGCTTTTCGTGAAAAAGTTGTTGGCTCTTATACATCAACCTCATCAAGGTATGGGAATCGTCGCAATCCTTTGGCGGATCTAGTGGTCACGAAACCGGGTTGTCTTTAAGGGCAAACAATTTGGGATCTCAGGTTTGATGCGTGCTTACCACCAATAGTACCAGGAATGAATCAATTTGCCACTGGACGGTGTTGTGCGATCTCTCATCCAATAAGAAAGTAACTTGAATTTATATAATCTAACTTTTATTACCTGTAAGTGGGATGGGGCAGCAAAGCGTGGGTCCCATAGACTTGGGAGATGATTATCAGAGACCATGTTGGAGAGGTCATTCTGGATGGGGGAGTCCAATTTGCAGGGATTGATGATCCATGGTAGTTGAGCTCCTGGTTCTCCGGGAGACGATCTAGTGGTGTCTGGAGATGGGTCTCTCGGAGACGCAACTCGAAGGTGATGCCAAAGTTATTATTGATAGAATCAATCGGGTTGATGCCCGAGATAATCGGGTTGGTGCCATTTTAGAAGAATTTTTGCTTTCTTTGGCGGTGCACACTAGGCTTAATGTACGATTTGTAGGTCGGAGTAGCAATAGGGTGGCCCATTTGGTGGCTAGAAAGGCCCTTTCATTGTACCCGATGCGTGTCATTTCATTGATTTTGTGGCCTGGTTAAATTACAGGATGTAATGGTCTCTCTTTCAATCAATATATATATGATTATCTTTTGTAAATAAAAACTACTCCGCACTCCATCTTCTTTTTCTCCCTTTGTTCAATCCAATCAATCAATCTACCTTTTCTAGTAAAAGCAGACAGAATTCACACAATCTAACGTTACAACTTTCCAATCATTCCCAAATTGAGCATTCGTATGATGATTTAGAAACTTTGTTCATGAGTTGAGATATTGATTAATTGGGTTCGTTGCTACTTTCCTATTCTGCCCTCATCTCTCTCCCTTCCTTTTTTCATTTAACTCAAAGTTCTACTGAGATTCTCATATCTAATCTCTTCTGAAATAACACAGGGTTCAGATCTCAATCTCTAGAAACATACAAATTTGTTATACTGAATCTTATAATAGCTAAAATAAGAAATTGAATCCTGGCGAAGGCATAAGAAAATTTTAGGATATTTGGATTGAAGGCTAATTTTGTATAATTTATTGAGATGCTAATGCGTATTGAAGGGTGTTGCACAACTTAGGTACGATGGTGTTGTTAAGTTTACCATATTTTGTGATGGAATGACTATATTTGTAGTATAAAAAATGACTATATTTGTAGTATAAACAAATGACTACATTTGTCACAAAGGTTGAAGTTTTGGTTATGCATATGTATTTTGTAAGGATTGGAAAGCCATACCGTATCGACGGTTCAAGCAGAAAATTCTCATACCGGAAGCAAAACCAGGAGGCGGTATTTAGCGGTATGAAACAACAGGATTAAACCATTCAACATAAAATACCTTACCACTGACCTTTTTGGTACACCTTTTCAATCCTTGGTCTTTTGTCTAAACTAAACCACACGTACAATTCAAAATTTATTAATCAAATCAATGTTACTTGAGTTTTGTTTTCAAGATTAGTTTCATTCTATAAAATATCACGAACTTCAAATAAAATATAAAGCATCAAATACCGAATATGTCTCAGTATGTCATCAATCATTTATTGCGCCAGTACGAAGCCCAAGTTCAGGAATGGCTAGCCTTCCCCCCCCCCCCCCCCCCCCCTTCCCCCCAAACAACATATTTCACAACAAATGGCACGAATGGGGAGTGACGGGGAGTTGTCGCTGGGTCAAAGGGTGGGTGGAGGTAGATTGCGTTCCTACGTTGATGGAACAATGGCAGCAGGAACCCATGGCGCTGATGGTTTGGTGGTGAAGGACGAGTTTGGGAGTGTGCTTTTTGTTAAAGGTTTTTCTTATGTTGGCCTGCAGGACCCAGAATTAATTGAGTTGTTGGTGTTTAGGGATGCAATTCAGTGGTGCTCTTTGAAGGGTTTAGCTGATGTTGTGTTCTATGGGGATGCTAACAATATCATTAATAAAATTAGGACAGGGGACACATAAGATAGCATGGGTGTCAAGATACTGGTAGAGATAGCGAGGCTTCGACAATAGTTCCGGTCGTTTGACATTTCCTTTGTTGGAAAGATTAGCAATCAAGTGGTCCATGTAGTGGCTAAGGAAGTCCCTTTCTTTGTTGCCTGCGAGTGTTGATAGTTTTCATTTTCTTCAGTGGTTTATTTTTAAGATGTTGACTCTATTATATTTCTTCTCTTGATAATACAAGTGAGCTATGTTAAAGAAAAAAATTGCTTTTATTTTTATATGGTTGATATAGATTTTAATGGACGTAGCCCACAGTCCGCAGCATCAGCCTATCTCGGCTAAGGCCCAAGTACAGGGAGTTAATGGTTCAGTTATCATAGGAGACATAGAGATTCCTTATTGTACAAGGAAACCTTCTCCTACTTGTAATACCCTAGCAGGATGTAGAAAAGGGTATATAATGGATGTAAGGCCGCCGGCCATCATAACATAATTGAATAAGAGAAAACCCGGAGAGTTAAGCTCTCCCGTGGACTAGTCCCGATATTCGGGGATACCATGTAAATCGTGTGTTCTTTATTATTCCGCAAATCATTCGTACAAATTTATTATGGTATCAGAGCGTTGATCCTATTGCAAGTCCGACATGTCTGGGATGGATCCGTCACTTACAGGCACGCCTGAATCCAAGCTTTCTGGCGGCATCAGTGGCGACAGTGGCCAAGGGAATCGTGATACTGACGTCACCAACCCTTTCTTCATCCATCAGAGTGACAGCACAGGTCACCTTCATGTGAGCAGCTTGCTCACGTCTTCTAACTACGCAGAGTGGGTGCTCGAGATGACGGATGCTCTCGTCACCAAGAACAAAATCGGTTTTGTGGATAGTTCTATTCCACGACCAGAAGAACGATCTGAAAAGTCCCTTGCCTGGATGCGTTGCGATGCACTCGTCAAGGGCTGGCTGCGAACCGCCATGGATGCGGAGTTGCGCAGTAGCGTTATGCACGCTAAAACTGCCCAGGAGATATGGGAGGATCTTCGTGCGCGCTTTAGCAAAGGAAATTTGACGCGCGCCTACGAGCTGCGACGTCATGTGAGTTTATTACAACAGGAAAAAAAGTCGGTTTCCAGCTTCTATACACAGCTGCGAAAGGTCTGGGACGAGACCCAATCCATCCTTCCGCCACCCATCTGCGCATGTGGCCGAAGGAGTCGCGATCAAAACGAAAGTCTGCGATTGTTGGACTTCCTTCTTGGGCTGGACGAGTCTTTTGCCACCGTCCGCAGCCAAATTTTGTCCATGTCAGTCACTCCATCCCTTCCCGAAGCTTTTCGTATCGTGTTTAATGATGAGCAGCAAAGCGGGCCTCTTACATCACCAGGCCCGCCGAGTCCGCTGTCTTCACCCGGCCCCAACTCGACAGCGACCCCTGCGCCTTCTCCGAGCCCAGCCCCGATGCCTCTTCGACGTGGTGATCGTCACAGGATCCCACCAAAGCATCTTGACATCTACTACACGGGAAGTGACGCTCATTCTGTTCGTTATCCGTTATCTGACCATGTTTCTTATGATCGTCTATCGGCTAATTATTATGCTTTTCTCGCAGCTGTAGCACATCATCCCGAACCTCGGTCATTTTATGAAGCAATTAAGGACCCCCGTTGGCGTGCAGCCATGTCAGTGGAGGTTTTGGCTCTCGAAGAAAATGGAACATGGAGTTTAGTTGTTCTCCCTCCTGGCAAGCGTGTTATCGACTGCAAGTGGGTCTATAAGGTGAAGTTTCATCCTGATGGCATGATTGAGCGGTACAAGGCTCGGTTGGTCGCCAAAGGTTACACGCAGGTGGAAGGTGTGGATTTCCACGACACCTTTGCTCCTGTTGCCAAATTAGTCACTATACGTTGTTTACTCGCAGTCGCTGTCAGCAAAGGGTGGTTCATTCATCAGTTAGACGTGAATAACGCTTTTCTCCACGGTGATTTAGACGAGGAGGTATACATGCGGATTCCTCAGGGATTCGCTGCCCCTGGCGAAACTCGTGTTTGTCGTCTACATAAATCCTTGTACGGTTTGCGACAAGCATCACGGAACTGGTATCACAAGTTTACTGCAGCCCTTCGTGAACTCCAGTTCCGACCATCACCAGCAGATCACTCTCTGTTTGTCTTTCGACGGGGGAGTATTCATGTCGTGGCACTCATTTATGTGGACGACGTCATATTGGCAGGTACAAGTCTTGAATTCATTTCTCAGGTCAAGGCTTTTCTTCATCAGCGGTTTAGCATCAAAGATCTGGGTCCATTGCGGTATTTCTTGGGCATTGAGGTCGCCCGGTCACCGGAAGGCATGATTCTTAGCCAGCGCAAGTATGTACTAGACATTTTGGAGGATGCTGGTGTATTGGGTAGTCGTCCTAGTGCATTCCCCGTTGAGCAAAATCACCGTCTCACCAATCCTGCACCAGCCGACCACCCTAATCCAGCAGCCTATCGTCGTTTGGTTGGTCGACTCCTCTACCTTACAGTTACTCGACAGGATATTGCCTATGGGGTTAACATCCTCAGTCAGTTTGTTCATGCACATTCACATGCTCATATGGATGCCGCGCAGAGGATACTCCGCTACCTCAAGCGTGCCCCTGGACAAGGTCTTTTCTTTCCCTCTGATAATTCTCTTGAGCTCACAGGTTATTGTGATGCAGATTGGGATGGTTGCCAATCCACCCGTCGATCAACTACTGGATATGTTGTCACCCTTGGTGGTGCTCCCATTTCTTGGCGTACCAAGAAACAACAAGTGGTTTCTCGTTCTTCGGCAGAAGCAGAGTACTGTTCCATGGCCAGCATGGTAAGTGAGATTCTTTGGTTGCGGTGGTTGCTTCAGGAGCTGGGTGCCGCACAAACTGGACCAACGACCCTTTATTGTGATAATCAAGCTGCTCTACATATAGATGCTAATCCCGTTTTCCACGAGCGGACCAAGCATGTCGAGATGGACTGTTACTTCGTACGAGAGCGCGTTCAATCTGGTGATATTGCTCCGACAAAGATTAGCTCACATTGTCAACTCGCAGATATGTTTACCAAAGGACTTGGTGCCGAGAGGTTTCATTTCCTCCTTTCCAAGCTGCGCGTTCGTGATCTCCACGTCACAGCTTACGGGGGAGTAATGGACGTAGCCCACAGTCCGCAGCATCAGCCTATCTCGGCTAAGGCCCAAGTACAGGGAGTTAATGGTTCAGTTATCATAGGAGACATAGAGATTCCTTATTGTACAAGGAAACCTTCTCCTACTTGTAATACCCTAGCAGGATGTAGAAAAGGGTATATAATGGATGTAAGGCCGCCGGCCATCATAACATAATTGAATAAGAGAAAACCCGGAGAGTTAAGCTCTCCCGTGGACTAGTCCCGATATTCGGGGATACCACGTAAATCGTGTGTTCTTTATTATTCCGCAAATCATTCGTACAAATTTATTAGATTTATCCTTTGTAGTCTAGTTGTTTATAAACTTATAATACTTTTTCTTTACTTGAGTGACATGAGTTCAAATATCAATAATCAATATTTTAATATATAAATAAATGAGGTACATGTAAGCCCAAATCCCGCAGGTC